CTCCCTCCTGAGTAAGGCTTGTCCTGCTAGGGTGACCTGTTTGCCCAGGCCCGAAGGGTTAAAACTGGAGCAGTCCTGAGTAACCCGAAACCCAGAGGCGCCCTACTCACCAGCCTGTCCCTCTCCTTTTTATCTCCCTCTTCATCGCCAGTGAGAGAGAACCTAGACCAGCCTGCTCGGTTCTAGCTCCAGACTGCGTAGAACTCACGTGGGGCGTTCCCAGTCTCCTCCAGTCATCTAAGACTGACACAGAGGCAAGACACAGTAAGAAAAACCATCCACTCTTGTCTTTTCTCAGAGTGGGAATGTCTTTTTCAAAGGTCCATGTTATATAGACCTCCGTGACTCCGACCGATGCAGGAATGAGTCTGGACCTTGATGTCCCAATCCACGCATCGTTAACAAAAAATCAGAAAGGCCACAGTGCCCCTCACAGAGCCAAGAAATATTATTCCTTCCAGTTCAGCCACAGGAGTTTCTGAGGATGAGGAAATGGGCCACAATCAAGCGTGGGGCAGTAGCTGGCAAGATCTTCATCTCCTTTCCCACCCCCTCCAAACTATCTGCTGGACCCAAGCTCTGGAAAAAACAGTGTTATAAAAATACTTCCGGCCTCACTAAGACACAGTAAAGAATTAATTATAAAGTAAAGATGAAGGAGAAAATTAATTCTAGAAACACATGAGGTTACAATTTTTTTTTCCTGGAGATGGGGGAGGAAACACAGTTATTTTCGTTTTCATCCTGGGGGCACAAGCTGGGAGCTGTCCGTCGATAACCTGGCCGTCAGAACAAGGTTTGTAATTAAAAGGTCAGTGACCTGGAAAGCCAGGGCCCCACTCCCAGAGCTTCTCAGTAATGACGGAGCTATTAAATTAAGACTGTTATGAAATCAATGCTAAAAAAGCTTTCATGGTAACGAGATTCCATTCAAGGACATGCAAACTACCTCATGAAATGGACGTAAATGATAAAAAAGAAAAGTAATAAAAGTGAGTTAAATTGAAATCTGTGAAAGAATTTACTCCCCCTTAAAATACTCCAGTGAGAGAAGCCCTTCACCTTTACCCCATTACCAAGGTTGAGACCATCAGGTTTCTTCCTCAAGTTCATTTCCAGCAAGGAGGGCAGTCTTCCTACTGGGAGTTCTGCTTCCAGGAACAGAAGAAAGATAAGATCTGCTTTCACCTTTTAGAATGAGAAAGTATGGTGGTGTTTTACTTGTTTAGTTTTCCTTTCCTCCTGGACTGTTTACTAGACAAGGGAGAATACAGTCCTTTATTCCTGTGCTTGAAAAGAGAGCAATAAACAGAAGTGTCAGCCAATGCCACCCAGGCCCATAATGCAGGATGATACAGAAAAGCATTGAGGATTTTTTACTAGAAGCTTGCTTGCAGCAGACATATTGGAGTAAGCTAACAGACAACTCTGTCTTCCCCCACCTCATCTACACCTTCACCCCACGAACAGGCATCACTTTTACCCACTTTCGACTCAGCCTGCCAAACACGTTTGGAAGCAGACTGCCTCTTACATTTTGTGGTTGGGTCGGGTGTCAAATCAACAAGCCTACTGACAACAACATCCAAGGCTCTAACTTTCTGGACTGTTTCTACTGCTATTTTTGAGTCACTCTAACCTCCTGGACTGCTGCCTTAAAGTCAGAGCCCCAGAGAGGAGGCCTGCCGGCAAGAACTACTTCCATACACAGACCAGTTCTGTGAGGGCTTTAACCCTACACAGGCCTGTCACCTTCATGTGTGCCAACTGTGCAGTGGAGTGTCACCTGCAGAATCAAGTGGTTGGAAAGAAAACAAAGACATATATTCTAATACTCTGAAGGTGAACAGCTGCTTCTCTCTTTCATCCAACAAATTCCCGATAAAAGAAAGAAATGTTGTAAATTACACAAAATGGCAGTACAAACTTCAGAGAAATGATAAATGATTCTAATAACTTCATGTTTCTCATTAATGACTCTATAGTCAGACTTTAAGTCATCCTAAAGATCTCCAAAAAACAGACAAAAATTACAAACACAAAAGACCTTTGCAAACCAATGCTCTTCCATCCCTACCCCATTCACTCCCCACTAGGCCTCCTTCAGCCTCCCCAGTCCCCCCAAATCAGAGAACACAGCATTTAACCTGTCATAAGAGAGGCAGGATGCAGCTCCTGCTCGCAGCTGTGGTTTCACAATAAAACAAACTCAGCTGATGTGCCTAAGTAACCCTCATTTTCCACTGAACTGACGTGCACTACAGGGACCTCAATTTCTATATTAAATATTAAATAATATTAAAAGAAAAACAAAATTGGATTTGCCTTTTCAGGAAAGAGATGTTTATTAAAAAAAAAGAAAGTCAAGATTATAATTCAAGGCAGAGCTGCACTGCAATTCCCTGAAGTGACATTTGCTAGGAAAAGCCGAGGCTACAGGAGCTGTGAGCTTGCCCAAAGCCAGCACTCCAGACCCACCACTGGGACGGGTCCTGCAGGGAGACGCCGGGAGGATGCCAGAACCTCGGCCCCTCCCCTCAAGATGCCCGCCGCACCCCAAAGACCAGCAAGCCCACACTCCTTCCTTCCCAGCTACACGGTTAGGGACAGGGTGGATTGCGCAGGTGCGTGCTCCTCTGTAAAAGCCCCTCCCGCCTCATCCTGTCCAGCTTTGCTAATTGAATATGCCTGGACACAAGGAACAGCCAGAAATCTAAAAAGTGACATTTAAATCCACGAAGGGGCTTTCTCCCCAGACGCCAATCAGACCTTGGAATTCTCTGCCCAGAAAGGTCCTGCCAGAACTTACCCTGTTGGGATTCAACTCGGAAATAGATAATTACTGACTGAAGCAGCATTTCAGAGGATAATGGAGATGGGTGATTATGGCCAGTGATTCTGGGTTTAAGTACACAGTAAATTCCTGGGGTTCTCTGCAGAGGAAGAATGATGCCACTCAAGGTTACTGCTAGCTAGAGCAGGAAGAGTCATGAAGGAACCCTGCCCACTACACAGCAACAGACACACGCCACCTGAAGGCCTTCGCCCACATCGCCATCTCAGAGAGACCTGCTCTAATCGCCTTGCTGGCAGCGCAAGCCATTCCCACACCAACACTGGCATTCCTCAAAACTATGTGCAGCTTTATTTTTCTCCACGGCACTTGTCATTTGACATATTACGTATTTCATGTTTTCATTTGTAACTTGTCTGCCCTCCCCCGTTAGAATTCAAGCTCTGAGAGGACAGGGATTTTGTCTGTCCTATTCTCGGCTGAACTGCCAGTGCTTAGACCAGGGCATGGCACAGGGTAAATGCTCGTAGATGAATTCATCGATTTTTTTTCTTTGAGGAGCAACAAATAATAATTGCACAAAACAGTTTCCTCTCTACAGTAATCATTAGCCAACTAACTCAAAAGAAGTATTATTTGGTCCAGAGTTTCTCTCTTTTTCTCTCCCTCTCCCAGTCAGGGATTTATTAAAATTAAACAGATTAGATGGAGCTCCTGATACTAAAACTGCTCAGCAAAGCCTGCGGTGGGGAAGTGCCGAGCAAACACCAGAGACATTTGTCTCTAAATTGCTCTAAATACCTTCTGCAAATGAAATTCTAACCCAGCTGCGTTTGAGAGAAAATGAGGAATAACTGGTCATTGTCAGTGGAGGAGAAGATCAGGCAGTTATAATATTGCACAATATACTGGGGCGAAGGATCGCTCGGCAACCATAGATTTTGTCTCAGGTTACCCTGGGTAATCAGCACAGCTTTTAGGCTCAGCTTTCCCCCGCTCGAAGCTTTGATGAGAGAGCTGAGATCCCCAGGCTTTTATGATTAATTACTCCCCATAGGTACACATATTTCAAGGAAAAACTCTTTTATGGCATGATGGTTGCAGAGTGGAGAGGCTGGCCAATGTACTCCAAATTTTAATAATCTCCAACTGAGGGGGGGTGAGCATGATGCCACCAGCAAGCACACAGTGCCCCTCATCGACTCAGTCAGAGACCAGCCCTGGGGCTGCCTATGAATGAAAAGCTGCGCAAACCCTGCAAGTGCAGCCCTGGGACACGGTCTCCCAGCATCACTCTGGTGGGATGCCATGGAGCAGACCTGGGAAACACCACCAAACCACTCCATCTTCTACTCCAGCCACAAATGACTTAAAGCTGAACACCCAGAATTTTGAGGCTGACATTCCAGCTCCTAGAGGAAAAAAGTGTTTTGCTTTGGGGGAAAGAAAACTCACTTTCCTCCCTCAGAGTGTATAAGGACCCTTAAACAACTTCCTAGCCTCCTAGAAAATTAAATGTCCGAAGAAGGAAAAGTCAGGCTTCTTTTTGGTTTGTTTGTTTTGGGTTTTTGTTCTTTGGGATGTTTTTGTTTTTGTTTTTTGTATCTTACAAAAAAGAAAATTATCCTAAATTTTAACAGAGTCAGAATAGATTCTGCTTTGGACAATATTGAATTTGTCAAGATCCATTTAATTCCTGCCTACAGAAATACCATAAAACCAGTAATTTACCACTTCAATCCGTAAATCAGACTGACCCCAAGCTTGACCTTAACCTGACCTTGTTTAGTCATCTCATTTCCCTCGTCCTTCATTTCTTTCTTCCTCATTCTTTACTGAAGCAACTGACCTCCTAACCTGAAGCAGTCATTCTGCAGCCAGGGGCATATTCAGAAGAACCTACCAGAAAGCAGAAGTCCTCCACAATTTAACCCAATGGGCCTCTTCTGTGCCAAATGTTGCCTGTGCCCAGCTGTCCTGAGCTAAGTGGCTGTCCTTATATCTGGTGCTCAGTTATCTGAATCATATCGCCTCTCTGCTCCCCTGTAAGGAAAGAAGCCTGTGTTCCCACCGGGGGCTCCCCTCACCTGTACCATATACTACAGGGACAGCTACAGGAGAGCCTTTCATCACTACTGTGGCTTCCATCTGCCTGTCTCCAGTCCCTTTCTGCAGGCCACTCTGCATGGCCACGGGGAACCTGTACCTTTCTTCTTAAGGAATGCTCTCCTGGTTGCAAGTGGGCTCTGGCGGACCCGGGAATTCTGTAGAAACTTCACTGCTGTGGCAATCTGGTGGGGGAGATAAAACAGAGAAAAAAAGTAAACTTCAATAATCTGAATTTCAAGATTAAAAATCCTACCAATTTAATCCCAGGCCCTCAGAAATAAACACACCAGTGTGGTCAGATTTATAACTAGTAATTTCTCACATTTAAAATTTACCTAAATAAAAGACCACGTCGGTTCCCTACTTTCAATGGCTTCCTGTATCTGAAACTATCCAATCTACTCTCTTCAGCCTAGCTGTTAAGACCTGCAATAATCTTTTCCTGTTCTCCCTGTTCAAGCCGATCCTTCATATTCCCAGGCAGGCAGCCCTCTCTTGGCCATGTTCATCTTGTCACTACACTTGAGGCCTTTTTCTGCAAGGCCTCTCTTTCCCGCCTCTACTTGTCTAAACGTGACACACATGCATACACACACAGGCGTGCACACAAACACCCCAGCACAGCCCTTTTAGTCTCTTCTAACTCCTCAAAGCCTTCCCTAAATGAGCAAGCCATCTCTGATCTCCCTGTTCTCTTAAATTCTTCAGTGCTTGTAGTGTGTACCATACAACTGAACACATAATTAGACTGTCTTCTAATGTTCAGCCTGCCTCCCCAGCTACACTGCAAGCATCTGAAGAGACCGTGCTGCCTCTACAGAGCCTGGCAAAGTGCTGAGCATACACCGGCTAGAGGGATTATATAAGAGACGACACACGCAGCCACTCACACGGGTCCCTCTTACACAATGGAGCTGAATTTGGAAAAGCCTTCAAAGGACAAAGTTTGGCGTTTCGTGGCTAAAAGCTGACAGATTGACAGATTACCTACCTACCTCTGGTAATGATTTTAATGAAATCTTCCTATTTACAAATAAGCCGAGTAGGTGATGGGAGGAAAACTGTTGAAGGTATTAACCTTCCCATCACTCAGCACGCGGCAAAGCCTGTTTGCATGCCGCTTGTCTGCTCTCCATCCCAGACACTAGTCCAGCAGGTGGGAAATGCCAACCTGCCCCAGACAGAGAAGGGACCATTTTAAAAGACTGCATTATTCATCGCATCAAAACTAGAATAATACTATAGTCTCATGTTACAGGTAAAGTCAACAGGCCCTGCAGCTCACTCGTAAGTTGTTGAAAGAACAAATTTCTAAAGGCCAAATATAAGGAAGTTCTTTAAGAGCCTCCAAGCTAAGGGTGGCAGTTATATAGAGATTCAGAAAGTGCTGTGACTGTAAATGGAATACAAGTAACAAATACTCTCTTCATATTTTATGTGATGAATCTTGAGACAAGACACACTTCTCTGGTAACAAAAGACAGAAGGATAAAATAGAAAGAAAATCCAAAAGCCAGGCAATTCCCTTATATATCTTTCCCCTCAGAATCCCTCCACTGGAGGCTCGCCTAAGACATTCTCCCCAAAGAATGAACTCAGGTATCCCAGACTTTCAGATCTGACACACTAGTGTTAGTTATAATCTGTCCAACACTGCAAATTTATTAGCAAACTTATTATTGCAAACACTGCAAACACCATGAACCACAGAGGTAACAGACCAGTTCTAGACTGGAGAAAAACCAACACTCGAGATTCTGGACTCCAAAACTACATACTCGCCCTGTCAGCCCCTCAGTCAGATCTCCTCAGGTTGCATCAAAATCCAGAAATATCTCACAAATATCCATAAAAACAGATGCATTTTGATGAAAAGATGGGAGAAGGGAAAGAAAAGAAAAGAAAAGAAAAGAAAAGAAAAGAAAAGAAAAG